TGAGATAACCAAGCCATGAATGACTATCACAGCCTCCTAATCCAGGAATGAGTGCAACTGATATTCAAATGGATTTGTACAAAAGCCATCTGAGTTACTTTTCAAGCAGGAACCATGACTGGTTTTACCTAATCATTCCAACCCCATCTAGAACCAAAGATGGAAGATTTCCAAAACCAGTAGCCCTAAAATCCTAAACCGCTTGATAAGCCTAAATGTCCATCCAACCCTCATAAGCTCCAGAAATTGAAATAGAATTTTAAAAGCATTATCTGGCCAGCCTAAGATGAGATATATAACGAGGTAACATCAGCATACTGATCATATCTAGGCTCATGACCCCACTCAAGAAGAGAGAAGAGAATTGAGCTCTGAGGAATAGAACCAGGTTTAGAAGGAGAATCAGTTTTATGTCTCCTACTTTCACTCCCGAAACCTGGGCAGAATGATACCATTTATTTTTTTATTTTATTTTTTTTATTGAAAAAGTTTTCAAATACAAATTTTTCCCCCCTTTTTTTCCCCCTCTCCCTCCCCCTCCCTAACCCCCCTCCCCACCCATCCCCCCCTGTGACTTCTTCATAACAAAAAAAACCTAATTCATAACAGATTACTTACTCCCTCCTCTAGATATTGACCTTTACTTACTAAAAATATTATTAATATTATAACATCCCCCTTTATCCATACATATCAAAAAAGAGAAAAGAAAGGGAAAAAAAAAAGACATTATACTATGACATTATAGAATAACTTCTCCACTTTAAAACTATACGATAAGTCCTACTTTAACATTTAATCTTCTATATATATTACTATAACATTTCAAAGCGGCCTTCCCCATAAAATCTAGTTTAACATTTATTCCACTCTATCCATTTCCTCCACTCCCCTAAATATAACACTTAAAAATCCCTTTTCTTAGACTAATCAATCTACTAACTAGCTTATTCACCCACTATCATGCAAAATTGCCATACACAACATTTCTTAACATCTTTGACTCACTGCCCACACTACTTAAAAATATATGTCTATATTTTCCATTATATCTAAATAAAAAAAAAGAAAAGACAATGACTTTAAATTTATAATCCATATAGTATCTTCTTTGAGGTCTTTCCACTGGATTGGTAGAACCAACATCCATAATCGGGTAACATAGCTTACTGGTGCAACAGTTTATTCAGGATCTTCAATCATATCTGCCCCCATCAGTAGTAAATATCTTCTTATATGTATAAAAGTAAAAACAACCACCCGAGTGACATTATAATTATATTCCATATAGTAATAATTGTGGGTTTCATCAGGATTATTAATTCCCATCATCGTAGTGGGTAACAACCCGATCTTCTGCATGCCCCGGCATAATTCTCTTGCCTTGTGATTCAAGATAATATAATATGTTTATCAACACAAAAAGAAATTCCAAAATGGACAATTCAAATCCATCAGTTTAAGGCTCATTTCACGTCCCCAGATTACGGCCATGCAGAGATCTGCCACAAACCTCAGGATGATATTAACCAATACGTCGCCTCTTCTGTGTTTACACATAATCGTTCATATTTTAAAATCACTGGCTTCACTGTTGCCTGATTTAGAAATTTCTATTTCTATGCCACCTATTTCTTTTTTTCTTTTCTTTTTGTGGGTTCGGTTTCCATCCTGGTTCCCTTTCTACAAAATATGTATCATCTGGTCGGTTTTTATTCTGCTTTGTAGATTGGTCTTGTTGGTTTTGCTTTTGTATCTCATATTTCTTTTTTATCCCTTGTATATCCCCTAATTGGTTTCCATGTTTATTCTTGCCTTGATAAGTCATCACATTAAGATTAGATGCCTCTTCTCTCAAATTTGTAGATAGTCCAGCTGGGGTATCCAATAAATCCAAAGGCAATTCATCTGGTACAGTCTCTGTAATTCGATATTTTACCTTTATTTCCGGCTCCTTCTGCTTATCCTGTATTATACCTGGAGATGTTAAGTTCATTTTCAACCTATTTTGATAAAATTCTTCCGCTCTTTCAACAGTATTTAGCTGATATCTTTCTCCTTGGTATCTAAATATAATACCAACTGGGGCGTCCCACCTGTAGGAGATATTTCTCTTTTTTAACTCATTCACCAGAAAACCAAATTTCTTCCTTTCCATCAATATCTTAGGTGGGAGTTCCTTGTAAATCCAAATCTTTCTTCCATACAATTGCAAATTAGAATTGAAGGAATTTTGAACGATATTATTTCTAATTTCCTTATCTGTAAAATAAATCACCACATCTCTAGGCAATTGCCTTTGCTTAGCAATCCAGGAGTTGATTCGATAAGCTCTGTCGATCCTACAAAACACTTCGTCAGGTTGAACCTTTAGAATCCCAGCTAGAAATTCAGAAGATATTTTCCTTAAATCATCTCTATTATTTTCCTGCAAACCTCTTAATCTTATCGCATATTCTGTGAAATTATATTGTACCATTAAAATCTCTTTTTCAATCTTCTGTTGCAGATTTTCTGCATTACCATACTTTTGATCAGCATCCATTTTAGGTTTTTCTTCTAAGCTATTATCCTGAGTGTTTGTCAAATCATTTTCAATTTTTTGAATTCTATTGTCCAATTTATCTTGAATTTCTTCCATTTTAGACTCTAGTACATTAGTATTTGTGTCCAACTGTATCATAAATCCTGTAAAACTATTAACCACTTTTGAGAATTTTTTCTCCAAAAAATCAAACTTAGATTTCACCAATTCTTTAATTTCCTGCTTAAATTTTTCAAATTGCTGATTCACAATCTCCTCCCTTCTTTCAATCTCCTCTATAAAAAATTCTATTATATTAAAATCAGGTTTCTGAGACTGAAGAATTAAGACTTGTTCCTTTAAGTTGTTGGTGGGGGGATCCCCCCCCCTTCTTGTTTATCTGACTTTATGAGTCTCAGTGCCATGTTTCCGCCCAGGCAGGCTTTGTTATAAGAAAAAGCAAGAAAGAAAAAAAAAAAAGGACTTCTTTCCAATCAACAACAATATCAGGTCTCCAAGGGAAAAAAAAGAGAAAAAGACACAGGAGCGAAGTTTTGTCTACAAATGTAGCCAGTGGTATTTATTCCGCTACATTGTAGTAATAGAAAACGGAAGGACTTTCCCTTTCAGCCTCTCCTCCAGCCAACGCCATTTTAAAAGGCTTTTTTTTTTTTTCCTCTTTCTTTTCCTCCTCTCTCTTAAGTAATTTTTTTTAAAAAATCAGTAAAATACTTGCGGTTCAATATTACAGGTCCAGCTCACATTTTCTTTGAGTAGTCTGTTAAATTTGCAGGCTTGCTTTTGACGCCTGGCTCTGCATCAGCAGAGGTCTCCCAAAGCCCGGAGCGGCGGCTGGGGATACGGGGCATCTCATCCGCTCCGTCCCAAAAGTAAAAAAAAAACTTTTGGGACTCCGCAGAGAGTTCTACCCACCCCTGCCGGCTCTATCTCCATTTCCTCATGGAAACGGAGTTTTTTCGAGCCGCCATTCCGTTGTGAAGGCGGCTCTAACAGGCGATGGAAGCTGACGATCCCAAAGGAACATCTGGCAGCGACAAACAGCAACCCGGAAGTCGATACCATTTATTTTTAATCAAATAATTCTAGAAAGGTTACTCTGGGATGGTACCTGCGGTCGTTGAAAGATCAAGGTTGGGTGGGAATGGATGCAGATCCCAAATCATGTACACATCATAGATCATCAATATGTGTAATCATGTTATCACAGTACTGTCCAAGGCCTGCAATCTGACTGGAAGGAATACAGATAATCTTCCCTCAGGACTGTCTGAAGTTTAACAGATTCCTTGAATAATCTTCAGGGCAGCCTATCAGAAGATCTTCTGACCCATCTCTCCCTAAGAGGGATTGAATCACTTTGTACAGGGCTCCTAGAAAGCAATCCATGGACACAATAAAATGGGGGAAATAGCAATAGCAATAGCACTTAGACTTATATACCACTTCACAGTGCTTTACAGCCCTCTCTAAGCGGTTTACAGAGTCTGCTTATGGCCCCCAACAATCTGGGTCCTCATTTTACCCACCTCGGAAGGATGGAAGGCTGAGTCAACCTTGAGCCTGCTGAGATTTGAACTGCCAAACTGCTGGCAGCTGGTGATCAGCAGAAGTAGCTTGCAGTACTGCACTCTAACCACTGCATCACTGCAGCTCTTATATTATTAAATAATTACATTTTGCCCCTTTTTATTGTATATACCTTAATAAAGACTCTTCCCCATGTTTGATTAAGCTCTTCATCTTTTCCCAGCAACGTTGTAGGCATCTCTTTCTGCTATTTCATCTCTATTCTGGGTTGTTACACCATAATTTAAATTCCTGAACTCCCTTTCTGTCCTTTAAAAAAGCCCAGACATATACAAGTATAGTAGTAATTATAAATTCATCCTGGGTTATGTTTTCATTTAGCTTAAATGTTGTTCACAAAAACTTAATTTTATAACTAACTCATGGTTGGAGAAAAAAACTGATTTAAATTATTGTTTTACATAAAAGTGATAAAATTTCACCCAGCTGTTGATACCAAATAAATTTGACATCTCTGTTTTCTGCCTGTCTTGGTAGCCAAGGATGTGAAACTGACCCTTAATGGTTTTATTGTGCCGCACAGGATTTTGAAATACATTTTCAGCCCTTTGGGACCATCTAAGGAAACAAGCTTTTGAAATCTGGGTTCAGAAAGAGCAGTGGGTTGTGGATGTTCCTGAACAAAGGGTCATTGAGGGTTTTAAAACCTACAAACCAGTAAATTCCAATGGATTACAGATGTGGGAATGGCAATTTTCAAGCTCCCGAATTATTTCATTCCTGACTGCTGTAGTTCTAAGGCCAGGCTGTAAGTAAGACACTGAAGTAAGTTCGATGTTCTGTGGACAAGGTTTTGTTATGATGTGGACTCATTCCTGTAACCAGAATCCCTAAATTATATATATTTATGTCTTTTGCTTGGGTACAGGGCAGAAAAACTGCAACTACTCAACCACAGGCCTGCAACTGCTGTTGAAATCCAGCTGGTAAGTTACAAAGCTACCTTCTGAAATATTGCTTTGAACATAGAAAACTAGCCAAGGAGATTTCTCAATTTTCCAGTAGTAGTGGGATTGATATAATTCTTTTTTTTGTTTTGTTGTTGTAAAGTTTTTTTTTATTTTTTTAAAACACACAAACAAACATACAATACATCTTTTCTGAACAGAATATTGGCCCGGTATTAAATTTATACAGATTTTTGTTCATCTTTAACACAATTTTATATATTCAATTTTTCTCATATCTTTTATTTTCTCTAAATTTAAAAAACCAATATTACCCTTTATCTTAACGTCTCATGCTAGTATAATTCCTTTTTTCTTTTCCCTCCTTAAAATTTGAACCCCTAAATTTAAATTCACAGAACCTAATACAATCCCCAATTATTTCCTTAAATTCTCTTACTCTACTCACCAATAATTCTTTTGTCAACTATTCCAAATAATACATTTCAACAGTTAAACATATTCAATAAAGAAAAAAAATCAATTAAATATCGATCTTGCTTCAATACCCCTATATTTAAATTCATATAACATAATACAATTCCCAATTATTTTCTTAAATTCTCTTATTCCAATCTCAAATAGTTTTTTCTTTACTAATTATTCCAAATAGTACATTTTGACATTTTTATCAAGACCAATTAAATATATCTAAGTAATTCATAATCCAATATCATTTCATCTTTCTTTTCTTATTTAGTTAAGTTCCAAATATATATTAAAAATATTCCATTTGTTACAGTACCCTTCGTTAATTAAATATATTCCAATTCTTACATTCATCATACATCCATATATTTTATACTCACTTCCTTAAAGATACAGTTCATTTCTTCATGTTAACTTAAATGGTTTATTATTTACCATTCTATTACTTCATCAATTATTTATACTTTTGTCTCTTATACTCCAGACATCATAGTTTCACTAATTAGTTAAAGAATCAATTTAATATCAATGTTACTCCAATGTCCCTAATTTTAAATTCAAATAACATAATACAATTCCCAACTATTTTCTTAAATTCTCTTATTCCAATCTCAAAGTTTTTTCTTTATCAACTATTCCAAATAATACACTTCAACCTTTTTCTAACATTTTTATAAGGACTAGTTAAATATATCTAATTAATCCATAATCCAATACCCTAGTAGTCATTTCCTTTACCTCATATTCCTCTTCCATTTCTTTCTCCCTTCCCATCTTTATATTTTATTTTATTTTTCTCTTTCCCCTTCTTCTTTTTTGTATTTTAAAATCCTGAACTCTCCTTTCCCTTTTTCTTATCTTTCCACTGTTAGTCCCATAATGATTTTGTTTTTTAAAATCATAAACTCCTTTATTTTGCTGTATCTTTCCCATTATTTTCCATCCCTTTCCCCTTTTTCTTATTTTCTCACTGATAATCCCAGTGTAGGATTTTTTGTAGGGTACTTTGTCACATTTTTTGTTGAAATCAAGGTATACTATATGTACAGCATTCTCTACCATCTCTGAAAGTTGTCTGATAAAAATGAGATACTGCTATTTTATCTTACGGTATCTAGCACATTTTAAAATTTCTACTGAATGATCTCTTCATTATTGACTCTAGAACTTATCTAGTTTTGATGTTCTGCTATCTGGTCTGTAATTTCCTAGATCCTCCTTTGTTCTTTCTTTCTTTTTTTTTTAAATGGGAATCTTATCCTCTTGGTATTTCACTGGTTCTCCTGGTTTTCTCAAGGTAATTCATAAACATTTGAATCAGGCCATCAGAAAGTTCTTTCATGCTCTGCATTTTGTCTGATCCCTGGAGCTTTAAACTCATGCATAGTAAGATGCTGAGCTTGTCGATCAAAAGGTTGGCAGTTCAGCGGTTAGAATCCCTAGTGCTGCATAATGGGGTGAGCTCCCGTTACTTGTCCCAGCTTCTGCCAACCTAGCAGTTCAAAACACGTAAAAAATGCAAGTAGAAAAATAGGGACCACTATTTTTGGTGGGAAGGTAACAGTGTTCCGTGCACCTTTGGCATTTAGTCATGCCAGCCACATGACCATGGAGACATCTTCGGACAGCGAAGGTGGCTCTTCGGCTTTGAAATGGAGATGAGCATCGCCCCCTAGAGTTGGGAACGATTAACACATATGTGCGAGGGGAACCTTTACCTTTACTTTTAAAGAGCCCTGGTGGCGCAGCAGACTAAAGCACTGTTATTAACATCAGCTGCCTGCAATTACTGCAAGTTCAAATCTCACCAGGCTCAAGATTGATTCAGCCTTCCATCCTTTCTAAGATAGGTAAAATGAGGACCCAGACTGTGGGGGCAATAAGCTGACTTTGTATAAATATACAAAAGTATGAAGGCTATTGCTTAACGCATTGTAAGCAGCCCTGAGTCTCCGGAGAAGGGCGGCATATAAATCAAAAACCAAAAAAAAAAAGTAAATATAAACATGGTCCCACTCTAATTATGGCCTTTTACGTTGTCCTGAACAGTTGTCTAGTTCTTTTGTCATTGAAAAAGTGTGAGGGGGAAAAAAAAAAGACTTTAGCTCTGCTGTTCCTGTTCCTGTTCCATCTTCACTTAGGCTAAACATGACAAGTTCCTTCATCTATTCTTCCTAAATTTTAGCCTCCAAGCCCCTCATCATTTTTATTGCTCTTCTTTACACTGAACTTGCATCTACCAGCTCTGAGGAGGAAAATAACACTTCATGGCAATCCCCATTTTTAAATATTTTCTTTTTAAGAAATTCATACAGTTCCTTTTCCCATTAGCTTCTCTGATCACAGATTCCTACTTAACATTATTCTGAACTATTAAAATGTGCAAAGTTCGAAATTCCTAGTCAAACTAGATAAATTTCCTTTCCTTTAATCAAGATCTCCAACACTACGTGGTCACTTTCTCTCAATATTCTCTGCTTATTTTCTATCTCTCCCACCCCCTTCCACTTCCTCCCCAGGCTGCGTCATTCCCTGCTAACAAACCTCTGAGAGCTGCATAATAAATGGATATTGACTGATACATCCTTGAGAGCTGCAGATTCCCTGAGCAAATAAAATGTTCATTTTAGAAGAAAATGAATAGCTGAAGCAAATGTTCTGAGGTGGCGCCTGCTCTCGCGGAAGATGTGGGAGTTCTTAGGTCATTGATTTAGCAAAAAGGCAAGCTCTCCATCTGCTTTATTCCATGTTTAAGGAAGTCTTATTAGTTTACAGGAGATAGAAAATAAAACAAGAGCACTCTCAGCTTAATCCCCTCCAAAAAAATATATTGATTCCAAAATAGTTCCTAGGTACACGGTCAAGGCTGCTGACTTTAACTGAAATAGGTGAAAATAATTCGATGTTACAATGGGTTTCACCTGCGTAACTCAGTTTTTTAAATTATTGTATCTGTTTTGCTCTCTTTCAAGTATTTAAAAGTTAAGTAGGGAAAAATAATAATTTCTATCTGCTTAGCTCAAAAATAATTTTTACCTTACTGAAGAGTTTGTTATTATTGTTATTATGGTTTGTCGTACAGTCAGCCAGATGTTTAGATTCAATTTGGCACTTTTATCCACCTGCTGAGTTCTTCCCAAGGCCCTGGGATAGGCAGAAGTTGTTGTTCAATAATACAGGAAGCCCTCGGCATACCACCACAATTGGGCCCAAAATTTCTGTTGCTAAGTGAGACCATCACTAAATGAATTTTGCCCCAGTTTACCAACTTTCTTGCCACAGTTGTTAAGTAAATCACTGCAGTTGTTAAGTTAGTAACACGTTTGTTAAGTGAATCTGGCTTCTCCGTTGACTTTGCTTGTCAGAAGGTTGATCATGTGACCACGGGGATGCTGCAGCGGTCGTAAATATGAAAAACGATCATCAGTCACTTTTTTCAGTGCCATCGTAACTTTGAATGGTCACTAAATGAACTGTTGTAAATTGAGGACTACCTGTATTCAAGGTATTGCAGCATGCAATATCAGATATATATATATTGATGGTCATGCTCATTTGGTTCTATGAGGAAGTTATTTGGTCAATACAGCTTCAGGTTCAAAAGTTGTTTTTATTATTTACAAATATATACATGCATACAATAATGAACAGGGTGTCCTGTTACATTTTTACCCTAACTGTATGACTCAGATGTTGAGAGGAGAGAGAAGTCCACCTGTTGTCTCGCTGAGAGATAGATGAGAGAGAGAGAAAAAAAAGGGGAAGATGTCCAAGTGGTTTCTAGGTAAGAGTCCAATAAGAGAGTTCATTGGCTGATATAGTCACATGTGATGTCTGTAAAGACTTAACCCCTTCTAGTCTCTGGTGCATCATATGCAGGCAATATCTGACATGCAAGCTGTTTCACACAAAGGTACATCAGTGAAAAAAAGTGTCTTATGACCATTTTTCACACGACCGTTGCAGCATCCCTGTGGTCACATGATCAAAATCCAGACAGTTTGCATCTCAGAGTCATGTGATCCCCTTTTGCGACCTTCTGACAAGCAAAGTCAATGGGGGAGACCAGATTCACTTAACAACCGTGTTACTAACTAAACACCTGCAGTGATTTACTTAACAACTGTGGCAAGAAAGGTTGTAAAATGGGGCAAAACTCATTTAGCAAATGTCTCGCTTAGCAAGATAAACTTTGGGCTCAATTGTGATCGTAAGTCAAGGACTATCTGTATTGTACAAGGGCCCTCCTGGCCACAACTGTCACCTGCTAATTGAGCAGGAGCTATGAATCCAAGTAGACGTCAGACTGCGCACTGTCAGAGTAGGAAAGTACAACTCTACTGAAACCAAGGTTGTAAAATGTCCTCTTCTAGGATCCAATATCTAAAACATTTTCATAGCTTAGCTACAAAAAGCTAAAGATCACAAAAGCATAGCCTGCATTTGAGGAAGTTTGTTTTTCTCTGAGATAAGAGCAGTAGCTCCATAAAGAGCATTAGCTGTGATGGAAGTTGTTTGTTTAAAGAGGGAGGGATTTTATTTGGGTTTGTGGTGTGACTAAGAATTTCCATTTGCTGTTCTTAGGCAGATCAAATAGGTGATGATTCGCATCAGAAATTTCTTATCGTTTTCAGTGGAATGATATGCATGGTTGTGAAAAAAGAAAACTCCTAGAACAGTGATACGTTGCTCAGTCATTCAGTTGCTTTTTAACTCTTTGTGATGGACATAATTTTACTAGGCTTGTCTGTCAAATATATTTAATTCTCTGTGTTTTGTAAATATCTCTTGTCTTTTCTATTTAATTATTCTCGGATCTTTTGTACTGTTTATTTCTGCCTTCAGTTATTTTCATTGCATAACAGACTGTTTTTGCATTTCTGGAGCTTTTTTTTTTTTTCTTTTTCGTTAATAACGTCATGGATTTTTTTCAGGCACTCTAATTACTAAACCTAATCCATTAAATTTAGTCTTTACCTTCATCATGATATCAAAACAAATAAATTGACATACCAGTCAGATGTTTTATTTGTTTTCTTTGGCTTAAGATGCAACTGTGCAACAAGAAGTGTGTGATCTGAGCCATAGTGAGCACCACAACGGTTCTTGCTGACAGCATAGAATTTCTTTATTTTTGCCTTTAGAATATATTGTCAGTTTGATTTCAGACTTGTCCATCTGATGATGGCCACCTGTGGAGTTATGTTTTAGCTTCTTGGAAAAAGGCATATGCTGTAAACATTTAATTTTCTTAGCAGAACTATCTGTCTCTTTCATTCATACGTGACCAATTTTTCCCATCAATCCAGCTACTATTTGCAGCTTTAGTAACTCAGATTTCTACACTGTAATTAGAATTATGCCTTTTTTTGATATAGTGTTGCAAATTGCCATAGAACTGTTCGATTTAATTTTCCACTGCATCTTGGTTTAAAGTATATGGGATTTATCATTTGATAATTGATTTACCTTTGATTCAGATTAAGATTATCTCTCATTTGGGGTAGGGTTGTATCCAAGCATAGACTTTGACACAATAAATTATTATTATTATTATTATTATTATTATTATTATTATTATTATTATTTAATAATAATAATAATAATAATAATAGCTAGCCTTATTTCTTCAATGAGATTTTAACCCACAATTGAAGATCTATTGCTTTTCTGATGTGAAGGAACCCATTTCAGTCCACTTCGATTTGCTGATTTCCAGAATGTGAATATTCACTCTTGACATTTCTGTTCTGACATCAACTTTGCCTTAGTTCATGGTCTGACATTCCATGGACCAATGGTAGACATATCTTTGCAGCTTCAACCTTTCCTTTTACTTCTGGGCAGTCAGCAGCTGGGCTTCCCTTTGGCTTTAATTCAACACACTATAAGCACCAGTGCCCTTGCTCTTAGCTCTTGCCCAGTAGCTTGTTTCATGCCTTCCAGGCTTCAAAATCGTGTTGATGCTGTCTTGGTTGCGGACATCGACTTGATTTTCTTCACAGAACACTGGAATAGATTGCTCTTTCTTTCTCCAGTGGACTGTACTTAGTCAGAGCCCTCATCTGTAGCATGCATGCCATGGATGATGTTTCTGGGAGTATACTATAGTTTATAACATCGTTAGGAAATGTCAGCTGTTTCATCACTACAAGGTCAAGCTCCATGGAAGAAATAATGCTTCACTGTAAATTCAAGCTGCATCCCAGGTAGAGCAAACCTGAACCTGAATAGTCCAATGCAGAGGTGGGTTTCAGCAGGTTCTGACCAGTTCTGGAGAACCGGTAGCGGAAATCTTGAGTAGTTCGGCGAACCGATAAATACCACCTCTGACTGGCCCCACCCCCATCTATTCTCTGCCTCCCGAGTCCCAGCTGATCGGGAGGGAATGGGGATTTTGCAGTAACCTTCCCCTGGAGTGGTGTGGGAATGGAGATTTTACAGTATCCTTCCCAAGCCATGCCCACCAAACCAGACCCACAGAACTGGTAGTAAAAAATTTTGAATCCTACCAATGGCCAAAGAAGTTCCTGAATTTTCTAAAACTCTCCGTTGGACAGGACATTAAAAAGCAGAAGATGGGAAAAAGAATAGAATAGAATTCTTTATTGGCCAAGTGCGATTAGACACACAAGGAATTTGTCTTAGGTGTATGTGCTCAGTATACAGAAGGAGAATAAAATACATTCATCAAGAATAAAAAGATACAACACTTGGTGATAGTCAAGGTTACTAATAAGCTATCAAATCGTACTTGGAAACAAAAACAATATAATTGAAAGATACAAGCAACATGGTTATAGTAATAAGTGGGAAGAGATCAAGGGTGGGTTCTACTTACCTTTACTACCGGTTCACAACAGGGCCGTGCGCTTGCGCTCGTGAAGCTTCTGTGTATGCGCAGAAGCATTTTGATGATGTCGGGGTCGGTGGGTGGCGCCTCCCGCCAGTTTTACTACCAGTTCTATAGAACCAGTGCGAACCGGGGGCAACCCACCACTGGAAGAGATAGATACTAGTAAGGAAGAGAAGAATAACAGTAATACAGTCTTAGTAAATTATTTGAGTTCCAAAAATTAGGAACAAATCAAATACCTTTATTATGATCCTTGATCAGCTCTTATGGTAAAAAAAGAGAAATAGTTTGATATAACAATTCATTATTTGGGAGGGAAACAATAGGGACAATCAAATGATATCTTTAATTAAAGGCTTTGCACGGTTACATGACTTGGTGAGGGTATGTGATATGTGAGTGTGGGTCTAGCATCCCTTAAAAAGTAATAAACATAAAATTTGTCAGTGTTAACTTCATATTTGGAGATGACTGGGGAGATCATAGCACATCTTGGGGCATCATAAAAAGGACACGATATGAGGACATGAGTGAGAGCTTCTACCTCCCTGGATCCACAAGGGCAAATCATCTGCAAATAAGTTCAGTGCAGCCTTCCTGCCAATAGAGCTGGTGGGAGGCCCAGAAATTAGGATAAATGGTTCAATTATAAGATTTGAGTCCAGGGTGTTTCCAGATATTGACAGTACCGAACTTTGACTAATGCATTCAATCAGTGCCTAGGTGGGGAAAGCTCTTATCAATGCCAACAGTCGTATCTGTAGAAATGCCCTTCCTTACCAGGGAAGGAAAGGCCTTTGTGCCAGTTCCTTAGAAGACCTGATTAGTTGGCTGTTTTCTGATTCGTAGTGATTGGTTTCATTTTATCCTAGTTTTGCTGAGCCTCACTAAATGTTTTTTGTTCCTCTGCTGCATAATGTCAGCTTTATTGTTTTAGGAACAATCTCTTGCTGTACCAGCTGGGAATTCTGTGAGTTAGGTCCATCCTAAGGAGTTTGGAAGTTAGCATGTAAAAGGGTGATCAGAACATACAGGTAGATAACTAAACCATTGTCCTTTGCAGATTGTGGAAGAAAGCGAAGAGAGGCTTACAGAAGAGCAAATTGAATCCCTTCTCCAGACAGTCACCAGCATGCTCCCTGGAGACCCGGAACAAGAGCAGGAGCAGCAACCCATGGTTGTGGAAGAGGAGGGGAGCCAGACATAGAAGTATAAATGACTTGAACTGCAGGAGACGGCCTTCCCCTTTTTCGCATCAGGAAGAGTTGGCCAAACTCATCATTTGCTATGAGAATCTGCAGATTTCCCACTGTTTCCATGATGACTATGCAGTGTTGTTACTATGTTTTTCAGTTGTTTGTACACCACAGGAGAATTATTTACAGTATAAACTTTTAAAAGGGAAAAAAAAACCACTCTTGTTTTTATGTTTTGTGTATTGTAAATGCAACATGAGTCGAAGTTCTTCCCAGGGTAAATGCTACTGTTGACTTCACAATTTTCATGCTTCTCTACTGCAATATGAATCTGAGTTCATCCCAAGGCGGATGCTACAGTTGGCTTCACAATATTCATGCTTATCTACCTGGAAAGTTTTACACATCAATAGCACAGACATTGGCATTATGGACTTGTTCATTTATTAGGAAAGTGCATTCCAATTTTCCTGTTGTTACATATAAAGTAGCAGATTGTTAATAGGTTAACAATGGCCTATCCATTATGGTTGTACGTCATAACAGTCACAAAATGGGTCAGTCACATGACTGACCCGATTTTGCAACCTTTGTTAAGCAAAGCACTGTATTCATTAAGCAAATCTATGATAATTAAGTGAATCAATGGTTGTTAAACAAACCAATGGTTCACTATGGGCGTGGCTTTGCCAAAAACTAGAAGTGCCAATTTTGGGCAAATATAAAACTGGTTTTCATATGACCACAGGATGCTGCAAATGGCCATGAATACAGCCATATTGCCAAAGTTGTCATGCAATCACAGAGGGGGCTCAACCATTGGAACTTTGAATTTGGGTTGTTAAGTCCCCTTTTCAGGTTGGTCATAATTTCGAATGGTTGCTTAGCAACCTGTCATAAGTCATGGATTGCCCGTATGTTTTTCTTTCCTTTGTTTCTCAGCTGAGGCCTTCACTCTTCATTGGGTCAACTCACAATTAGTTCTTAGCCATAACATGTCCACTATCTTTTTGGCAGATGTAAACCAAGGTCTGGGATCAGTTTGTTAGGCAAACATAGCCAATTGCTAAGGAAACCTAAATGCATATTGTTTAGTCAGTGCCCCTCTGTCTTCCTCCCTCACTTTCATTGTTCTACCTCCAAACATCTGTCTAATAGTCTTGTATCTTCCCAATATTTGGGAGACTGAAAGAATCCAGTAATCAATGGCAAGAAGGAATTGTAGTCCAAAACATCTGGAGAACGCCAAGTAGATTTGCCGTGTTCTGTTTCTGGGTGTCTTGGGCACCTTCCTCCTTAGATTTTCCAAATTCTGGATTCCTTGCTTGCTTGGACATACCAACAAGTCTAAAGAACAAGAGACCTACTTTATACTCCATTACTTTATGCACATATAAATAAAATGGGAGTGTCTGGCCAACCTTTCCAATGCAGTGCTGACTATTTACTTAAATCCTCTGTATTACTGGTAGAATACATATCAATTTTTGGAACATGTGTTTCAGGTTTGTGAAATGTATATAAAGAAAGAAACACATAGGAAAAATAAGCAGTACTTATTTAGCACCCAAAAGCAATACTTTCAGGTGCTAAAACTCCTTAACAGGAAACTGGGTGGTGAATGATTACAGCTGCAGACAAGCAAGTCTCTAAAATAACTCAATCCTTGTTCAAAGCTCCTATTTGCTCTTCTGTAGATGTGCCAGAAAATGAAGAGATTTGTACATAAGAGGTTCTGTCCTTGCTTCCTGTTCTGTTAGCTTGGAAACATGCATATGGAGAAGAGTGTCCTTCACCAGGTCAGGGCTTCAAATCCACAGAGACTGCATGGTTTGTTAATACATTTAAATTGGGCAGATTCAAACAACACATGCACAATGACTTGATTGATAGATCTTGCTAAGTGGTTGTGGGAGAATACATGAGTCCACTTCTAACCACAGTAGCCAGAAGTAAGTGGTGGGGTTGACCATTTAAGTCAAAACAAAGGAAAACGTAAATCCTGATTTAAGAGTATCCATTTGGGTGGGGGCAGTGGTGGGTTCCTCCCGGTTTGGCCCGGTTCTGCTGAGCCGGTAGCGGTGACGATATGATGTCACTGAACCGGTTCTGCCCCACCCCACCCCCTGCGTTATTCTTACCTTTTATTTGGCCCCACCCCAATCTATTGCTGCCTCCTGAGTCCCAGTTGATGGCTAGAGGGAAAAAAACTGTTTAAACTCTTTCTGTGGGGCTTCAAAGTGCCGCCCTACAGCTGATCAGTGTTAAAACAAATGAGTAGACTGGTGCCTGCAAAAAATAAATGGGTAGACCAGTGCCTGCAAAAATACATGAGTAGGTCAGTGCCTGCAAAAATAAATGGGTAGATCGGTACAGCCTGGTAGACCAGTACCTCTGCTAAATCCTAAATAATTGTCACATGACCATCAAGCCACGCCCACAAAATAAGCCACGCCCACAGAACAGGTAGTAAAAAATTTTAGAACCCACCCCTGGGTGGGGGGTTGTTTAAAAAGTCAAAAGAGGACAGCCAAGATTGTATGTTTTGAAGCTGTGCCCCTTGCACACTTGTAAGTCTATGGTGGCTCCCCATAAATCAGAAGTCTGATAACTTTTCTGACAATTTTTATTAAGAGACACAAATAGTTCTTGGCTTATGACCACAACTGGGATCAGAATTTCCATTTCCAAGCAAGTGAGTTGAGTCCAATTTTGCCATGATCGATAAGTGAATCACTGCAATTGTTAGTCAAATCATGCAATCGTTAAGTGAATCCATTTTCCCCATTGAGTTTGCTTGTTGGAAACCAGCTGGGAAGATCACAAATGGCGATCACGTGATCCTGGCTACACTCCAACCATCATAAATACATTTTGGTCCTCAAATGCCCAAATTTTGATCACATGACCAGAGGGAATTCTGCAAAGGATGTAAGTACAAACACTAGTTGTAAGTCACTTTTTTCAGCGCCACTATAACTTCAAACAATTGCTAAATGAATGATTGTAAGTCAAAGACCACCTATATATCAGGGATGAAATCCAGCAGGTTCTGACAGGTTTTGGAGAACCGGTAGTGGAAATTTTGAGTAGTTCGGAGTACCAGCAAATACCACCTCTGGCTGGCCCCAGAGTGGGACCAGAGTGGGAATGGATATTTTGCAATATCCTTCCCACAGGAGTGGGGAGGGAATGGGGATTTTGCAGTATCCTTCCCCTCCCATGCCTACCAAGCCACGCCCACCAAGCCACACCACGCCCACCAAGCCATGCCCACAGAACTGGTAATAAAAAAAATTTGGATTTCACCACTGCTATATACTTAAGCTGTAGCTCACAAAAGGTTATACCTTTTAATACAAATCAGTTAGTTAGAAAAGTTGCTATGTGGGCTCCTGAGTTTTTTTGTCATTGTGGCTTCTAAGATACTTTACCAACTCAACCAGTTAAGGTTAAGTCAATAACATATACACATTGCATTTATAAATTAGATTGATATTCTCACTGAATTATTACTTCCTCTTGTTCACAAACTTGTCGGGAAAAATTGAAGAAGGAAGTATACATTGTCTTGAGCTCCTGAAAGAAAGATGGGATATAAGCAAGCAAATTATTGTACAAAAATCCTACTGATATAATTAGTATTTGTGAGATAGGCTGGGCTTGAAATAATTATTGGCCTAAAATCATTCTGAGTTTCCATAGCTAAAGATGGATTTTTCCAGTATAATGACCACTATACTATATTGGCTTTTTTAAAGCTATACTCATTTAACATCTGTGAACCAACTCATTTGTTTTTAAGATTCTTGGCTGAAAGCCTTATATTTCAAACAGGTTTTTCCCTACACAAAAAGCCCGCCTCTATCAAATAGACATCCATTCTCATGACTAATGGCTTTAACATCGGTATACCTCTTTGAGTTCAGATTGGCAAAATTCTTTACATCTTTAGGGATGGCATTTCTGTTCCCTCACTACAAACATCTGAAAAACTATTTGACTCTTAGCAATAATCTCTGTTAGATGATTAATCTCCTATTTGGTTTCTTTTCTTTCTCTTTGTTCATACTTTATTCTTCATAAACCAATAATAAGCTTTTTGGATGTACTTCAATGGTTTTAAATGTTAATATACCATTTAATTGTGGCAAGTTCTTGTCAATTAAACTTAATCATTATATTTTGTATACAACTAGGATACCAAATGTTAAGCTTAAGAACTTGGAAGTGATTAACTGCTAAGCCACATGGATTTTACTTAGAAATTTGTCATCGTATTCATTGAAACTTCTGCCAAGTCAATATTTTATTGCACCATTTGATATTTATTTGGGGCAAAAAAATTATTCAAAGCTTTCAGAGCATAGCACAGCACATAATAGAGTAATCTAAACAGTATGGGGAAAAAATAGCATACAATATATACTCATGGATAAGTCCATCCACAGATAAGCCAATCTTCAAATTGCCATGAAAAAATGTGCCATGTGCAGATAAGCCAGTTATGAAGATTAAAATGTATAAAATTTTTCAGGGTCAGCTTATTTACGGATAGGCTTATCCAGGAGAATATTCAGATACTTTTAAAAATATGATTATATTCACAGAAACCTCACAATTGATCTACATAGAAACCACTTTTGGAATTTTTACTCAATAAAGAGAAAAATGAAATTTTGATATTGGGATTTGGTATCTTTTGATTATGGAGATATGTATTTGTTTAATTTGAAAGCAGAGAATGTTCAATTATAGATTTTTTATTATAGAAATATCTAGCAATATATATATTTTTAGAGTTGATAATATGCATTTATGGGTTATATATTTTATCAGATTAAGAGATTATGATATATATACGTTACTGTTATTATTTCATTGTTTGATATGTATATCTTTATATATTTAATTTTGTATTTTTTCTTTTGTTAAAACGAGCATATTTTATTTTATAACTGTTAAATATATTGAAAAAGTTGGAAGTTTAACATTTTTCTTATTATTGTTTTCTTATGTCACTTTTTAAACATTCCCTCTTGTTCCTCTCTCCCACATTTCCTCTTTTATTCTAATTTTCTATTTTAGCCTTTTATTTTTTGAAATTAAATAAACTTTTTAAACAAAAAAGAAATCTTGTAGCTGAAATTAAAACATGAATTATTAGTAGCAAAATCGATTATTAAAAGCTTGCAAAAATTCCTAGGAATTCCAAAGATCAGACATCCATTGTTAAAAAGTAACATTTGAAAACTACTTTTAAATTATTGCCTTATATACACAGTGATTCCCTGCAGAGTGGGATCAGCTAAATGTGAGAATAAAAATCTTGAATTGAGCTAAGGTGTGGCTATGCCCATATAAAAGGTACTTTCTTGGCCTCCCCATCTTACCGCAAGGTAGCGGCTTATTTCTTATTATTTTTTAATGGACATTTCCCTCAAATTTTTGACTGGGTTATATAGCCTTGGGACTTCAGAATGGCTTCTCACACAAATGTGGAAGGTACCTCAAAAATCAATGCACAACAACAAAAACAATCTATAGGCAACGTATATAAATGTTGAACATGTTGAAAATTCAGCAACAATCATTCTGTTTATTTTTTATCATTGGTTTAATATCAACTTCATTTAATGGTTGGAATGTTATGATCATTCAGACTAAGCCTGAAGTCATCTAGAAAAAAGTGAACTAGAATGAGCTAGAGAACAATGAGATATAATTCTTTCGCATAAGACGGAAACTGAATTCAACGATTCCTAGAAATGAATCGCAGGACTGCAAAAAGTTCTATAGATAGTCCTTGACTTACAACCATTTGTTTAATGACCATTTGACAGCACTGAAAAAAGTGACTTATGACCCAGTTCTCACATGACTGTTCTCACATGACTGTTGCAGGATCCCCATGGTCACATGAGGCTCTTAGCAACTCATCATTTGTAATCTTCCCTCCTGGCTTCCAACAAGCAAAGTCAATGGGGGAAGCCAGATTGGTTTAACAACCACATGATTCACTTAACAACTATGGCAAAAAAGTTATACAATGGGGTGCAGCTCACTAAATGGTGATGCTTAGTAACAGAAATGTTGGGCTCAGTTGTGGTTATAAGTCAAGGATTACTTATATCTTTATCTCTTTTTTCCCCCGTCTTTTAATGACCCCATAATCCCTTGCATCAGGGTGGAGTTGGGTCAACTGAATGGAGCTGAATGTTTACTGGCTGGATGCCCTTCCTGTCGCCAATGCAGAATTCGCAGCTGATATTTACTCATTGGGCCCAGAGAGAAAAATATCTGCCACTACCTAGGATCGAACTCACAGCCTCCTGATCGTGAAGCGACAACTCCACCTCTAGGCCACTGCACCACTCCTCTGTCTGTCTGTCATCTATCTACCCACCCACCCACCCACCCACCCATCCATCCATCCATCCATCCATCCATCCATCCATCCATCCATCTATCTATCTATCTATCTATCTATCTATCTATCTATCTATCTAAGAGCAAATGGGAAAGATTTGTGGAAATTATTCTATACATGTCCTTTTTGTCAATATCCTTTTTAAAACAAAATTGTGGGTGTTGAGGGAACCAGATACAGTTATCCCAGTCTTTTGAAGTAACTGAGATGAACCCACTGAGACGAAGTGAAAATGGGACGCTTGTGCATTAGGCATCTCTTTTTCAAAGAATATTTGGCTCTCCCCTTGCCTTTCTTTGCCTGGAGGATGTGAACTACTTGTTCTGGGGATTAAGAGAAATCTCAGCAAATACGTTCAGCAGCCTCTGACTCATTGCCCAGATTCAAACTGCACTGCCAATTTTGACATTGTTAAGCCATGTAAAACCCTTACAATCAGCATTATTTTCAGGGAAACAGGCACTTTGTATTGTATTTTTCTTCTTACAGTTATCATTTGGGCCTCTTGAGAATTCTTCTCCCTCATTTTATGGGTGGGCTGATTACTGATGAGCTTAGAATAGCACATAGCTAGAAGGGACCTTGGAGGTCTTCTAGTCCAGCCCCGTGCTCAAGCAGGAGACCCTGTATACCATTTCAGACAAGTGGCTGTCCATGCTTTTTATTTCTAATTTATTCCCTGTCATCTTGTCAGCAACTTAAGAGGTGAAATCAACGTAAAGAAAGAAACATGAAATGTATTTAAAAATTATCAAAGTGGTTTACAGACACAGAAGTAATACCCATATTAATAGACCACAGTTGTGACTTTGATTAATGTGACTTTATTTATTAACATGTATTAACATGTTTATTTTACTATTTATATATTTCACATCTTGAGCACGATTTTTCCTTGCTATCTCAGACTTGGTTTTCTTTTTGTTTCTGAGGTGGTCTATGATTATAATAAAATATGTATCTATGTGTAATTTAATATGATGGTCTGGGTCAGACAACTTGCTAAGACAATAAAGGTAGTCCTCGACATACAACAGTTCGCTTAGTGACTGTTCAAAGTTACAACGGAAAAAAGTGACTTATGATGGTTTTTCTCACATATGACCACTGCAGCATCCCCATGGTCATGTGATCAAAATTTGGATGCATGGCAACTGGTTCATATTTATGACAGTTGCATTGTCCCGGGGTCATGTGATCATCTTTTGTGACCATCTGACAAGTCAAGTAAACGGAGGAGCCAGATTCACTTAACTGTGCTACTAACTTATCAACTGCAATGATTCACTTAATGTTGTGGCCCGTACGCGGCCTGTGCGGCTGGTGGCTGATTCAGACAGCGAGGAGGCTGGTATGGTGCTGCGCCAGCAGCCTGTGCACCTGGCACTCGAGTCGGACAATGAGGCTGGAGAAGATGTGGTGTCAGAGGCGGGGATTCAGGGCCTTCAGAACCTCCAGAAGCTCCCTTAAGTGAAGAGGACAAAGAGGAGGAGCCTCTTCTCGATGCACGGGCACGCAGAGCTGCCAAAAGGCAGGAGTGGCTCCTCAGGAGGAGGTCTCCTCGAGAGTAAGGCTTGGGGATAATTGGCCACTCCCTTAGCCTATTTAAGGAGGAACGCCGACTGAAGCAATTTGCAGGGAACAATTTGTTCACTCTCCTTCCTGCCGTGATCTTAGTTCTTTGCAAATTGCTTCTGGGCTTTCTGCCAACCATAGTAAGATTAAGATTATTTATTCTTTGGGTTCTTGTAGGCTGTTAAGAAAGTTAATTAACAGCCTTTGTTTAGAAAAAAACCCTTATTTAATTTAGTAAAACTAAGGTTTGTACAGACTTTGTGTGTGCTGTGTTCTTTGGGGTCCATAGTTGGGGCAGAACACTTAACTGTGGCAAGAAATGTCATAAAATGGGGCAAAACTCACTTAACAAATGTCTCACTTAACAGAAATTTTGGGCTCAGTTATGGTCGTATATCAGGGACTATGTGTAGGATTCCTACAATAGGCTGAATCACAACCCCCCCAATCTAGTTTTAGCTTAGCATGCAAAACCAGCAGACAGGTCAGAAAGGATGCATATTTAAGAGCATCTGTACATGCTGGCTCTGTGTTTTGGCATGCTGATTAGCCATGCACAGTATTTCATTTTATCTTCTGGATCAGGGAACAAAATACAGGTACTCTAGTCCTTATTTAGCAACTCTCATACAGTGACCATTTGCAATTATGTCAGTGATGTAAAAGTAATTTTGCTACCAGTTCATGCATTTACACTCTTCACAGGCTTGGAAAGCCAAGGTACGCTGAAGTAAAAACATAAGCACAGTTGCTGTTTCACTTAGTGACCAGTTTGCTTAACAACCAAGCTCCTGATCCTAATTGTGGTGACTAAACAAGGAATACCACCACTAAATACCACTTGGTTTGGAATATTTCTGAGACTCAAATAGAGTACAAATATATATACAATAATCTTCGGTGCAATTTATTGCATGGACAAATACTGTCCCAACTGTTAATCGATAGCGACATCCAAAAGGCTTTTTTCACTTCAACAAGGATGATTTTTTAAAAATCTATTGGGGTAGTAAGAGTAGAATGTTGTGTGGAAAAGGCAATGAATTCAGTTGAGTTCTCATCTGAAAACTAATTCCTCAGTAGGTACGTCACTTCTAAGCACATTTTTGCACATGTCTTTGATGGCTCAATCTTCAGGTCTCAGCAAAGATCAGCCTAACCCTGCTCTAAATTTCACGTAGGCTCCTTAAGAAGTTGAGAACACCTGGAGCTGGGCTTGTTTTCTTCAAAGCGCACATGATGATCTACTGTATAATAATAAGATTTCATGTTAAAAGTAGATGGAATGTGGAAGCAAGACTCAGATAAACATATATAAAATTACATTCTAATTATAGTGCCTTAAGGGTGTCATCATAGTACATATTTACAGCTTTTTCAGAGAGATGTTTCACTAGAGAATCTGGAAAACAGGGAGAGCTATAGATATAGAGACTTAAAACATTAGCAATACAAGGTATGAATTTATACTACAAGAGTGCTTAGGTCGTAAACATGTTCAGCCATGACTTGAGACAGACAAAAAAAATGGTACTACTTTTTCCCTTATGACAATGCCATACCTACTTACAATTTTAGTGGAGATCCAGTTCAATTTTACATTAGGAATGCCAGGAAGGACTTCAAAAGAGAATCTATGTTCATGTATTGGACCAATTTGCTTTTCTATCTTGGCTAAGTAAATATAATGCCCCAAGGACAGGCAGAAAGAAAGGAGCACACACCAGAGATCAGGGGTTTACAGTATGGGAGACAATCACCACCTGAAATGCACATGGAAGCCTAATATTGCTTACCAAGAAGAAGGGTGAAACAGGATGGATAGAGATTTC